CTCCCCAGGACACCTGGTCGGCCCTGGTTGAAAGCCTGGGGCAGGCCACCCCAGCAGCTCCAGAGTAGGAACCACAAAGCCAGAGTTCCCTTCTCCCACCCCTCCCTCTCCAGGGTCCTGTACACCAAGGTCATCTCCCTCACCACCCACTCCTATCTGCTCAGTGATGCTCAAAGATGCGACTCATCCATCCCAGATACTAGGATTACAAACCTGAAAGAAAAGGAGGCTGAGGAAGATCCCCCTCTCCTGAAGGCACTTCCAGGCAAAGTACTTTTTTTCTCCCTTAACTAGAAAATAAAGCTCAGCCTTCCTTCAAACTGTAATAGAAAAGAACAGATCTGACTGCGTATTAGATCTGTTCCTTTGGCTTTAATCGTGTCCCCTGTTTTCTAGGCTTAGTCTTGCTAGCTCTGCACTCATATAAAGATAACAAATTGCAGAATAGAGAATAACATTTGTTTCATTGGTGGTTTTACAGGAGCACCATGAGCTGGCCCACGTGGACAGCTGCAAGTACAGAATTCCTACACCAAGAAGTTTGCAACAATCAACCACACCCCCTCCCCTATTTTTTCTATAAAAGGAGCCTGTATTCTGACTGTATTCTGAGGATGCTTCTCCATCCTCTTGGTCTGCCCACTTTCTGAATAAAGTCACTACTCCTTGCCTCAATACCTCATCTCCTGATTTACTAGCCTGTCGTGTGGCGAGCAGAACGAGTTTGGACTCAGTAACAAAACTGCTTGGTCCACCTTGACAATCACATTTGGAGGGCCCTTTGAGGCCCCACACTTGAGTTTAATGATGGAAAGCACCCGCAGCATCTCAGGCCCCTGGACCCATGAGGGGCTTGTGGCTGATGGAATGTGGCTGAGGTCTCCGGGGTGGTGGAGCCTAGGGAACCTAACTTGGGGGTCAGACACTGCCTTGGGACAGAGACCTCTTGTGACCTGACCAAGGTCTTTGGGGCTGGGATGAAGCTACTAAAGGAACTGCAATAATCTCAGGACAGGTGACAGCTAGATTTCCTAGTGAAGGGGTCCTCAGGGAGTAATGCACAGGACGTGAGCCTGGGAGGATGGACTAAAGAACAGAGGTGTGGGTGAAGAGAAAGCAAAGCATGGAGGGGGAGGCAAAGAATCAGGACTTGGAGAGGAACATCGAATACCTGTTCATAGGGATCTTGGGCAAGAGGAAATGAAAAATGACCACAGGTCAGGCCAAACGGATCAACCCGAATTTCTCAAACGCAGCAAAGCAGCCGCCAGGTCATATCCTTTGGGTCATCTGAGAACCCATCAGGCCTCCTCCTTCTGCCGGTGGCCCACTCTCTGATTAGCCAGTGCCAGGACTAAGACTGATGCTCTAGTAGCTCATTCAGCCTTGGAAAGCCTAACATCCCTCCGGCCAGCCTGCTCCCACCAGGTGCCAAAAACCCTGAGCCCCACTCACCAGGTACAGAGAAGCTTAAGAAAAGCAGTTTATGCATAAACATCTCAGACGAGAATTTCCTAGCTGGAATTTTGAGAAGCCAGAGAAACTAAGTAGTTCCTCCCACGAAGGCGCTTCTAATGGGGAACATATATGAAAACGACGAGACATATTTGAGAAGCAATCTGTGAACACATACAAAGGATCGTGTGAGGGGTTGACCACACGACCACAAGCAGGACACTTGGGTAAGGGTCAGCCTCTGCTTCTCCCTCTGGGTCCCCTTATAGCCATACTCAGGGCTCAGGCATCTGCTGGTAGAGGACCAGGTACCCACCCATCTGTGCATCCTGAGGTTCTAAGCTGAGTTTGTCCAAGGCTGGGCCCAAGAATTCCTGAGATTTGGGCCCCCAGCACACCCCTTCCACCTGCCGTCAGCCCCCTGGAAAGCTGGGTGCTGCACTGCAGGGGCAGCACTGCCACTCTCCCAGGCCCTCTTCCCTTCCCAGACATTCTCATCCTCCCCCGTGGCTTCCAGTGACACCTAAACCATCTCATCAGCCCAGACCACTCCCCCAGCTCGAGAAGTGCTTTTCAAACCCAGTCAAACTTGGTTATCCCATAAATCCTCAGTCAGGTCTGATGGAGACTTCATCTTTCCCTTAAGCCTCCTCCTCCAACACACCCCCACTTCAAAGAACAGCACCACGCACTCCCCTAAAGCCATCCTGGTGAATCGAATCCCTCCTCTCCACCCGACATGCCCCAAACTCAGGCATCAGGCTGTCTGCTCCCAGCTCCCACTTAGACAAGCCCGCAGCGTCGTCCAACGTCTCCCTGCCAATGCCTCGCCCTCCTTCCCCTTCATCCACCAGGTCACCAGAGCCACATCCCAAAACACAAATCCAATCACTATGATATAATTGAAATATATCAATCAAACAATCAGCTTAAAAGGTGACTTAAGAACATAAATGCAAAGGCATTAGAAGAGAACAGACCAAACAAGTTGGCACTGCACAGCACAGGGAACTATATTCAGTATCTTGTAGTGACTTATGGTGAAAAAGAATATGAAAATGAATATATGTATGTTCCTATATAGCTGAAGCATTGTGCTGTACACCAGAAATTGACACAACATTGTAAACTGACTATACTTCAATATAAATACTTTAAATGTAAAAAAGAGAGAGAGAGAGAATAGAATAGATGAAAGAATCATGATATGAAATATGGGGAAAAAAAAAAAGAAGAGAACAGGACAGGCATATTCCCTAAACGCACACACAGCCTTTTGTTGCATTTTGAGAAACTGGGGTGCCTCTCTGTACAATGCAGTATTGCAATATATCTTCTATTCATTGAAGACTCTCAAGGAAAGATTAGTAATTTTACAAAGTTGGGAGGTGGTGGGGTGGGCAAAGCGTGTAAGAAGTAAATGTAAAATGTAAAATTCATTTCTCCCACGCAGACAAACCCCTTGCCGGGGTTGCTGCAGTAGCCGCAGCACAACCAGAGGGCGTGTTCCCTCCTCTTGCTGGCACTGCGGGGCCGCTTTGTGATCTAGACACCAAATCCCACTAGCTAGAAAAGCACAACACAGCCTACTTATTATCTTTAAGACGAAGGGGGAATACCAGTTGCAAATTTCCTCACTGATTGCCAAAGATGGAAGAGGTTGTCCGAATCTAGCACTTTTTCTCTCTATCCACCCTTAAAAAACCAGGAATTAGACACTATGTTTCGACTGCAACACAGGATAAAAACTTAGAATAGTTGCCTAAAAGCCTGGCCCTCACCACCTGCTGATCTTCAGCAGACACCGAGCCCCTCCTACATGTCTGGGCTGTTTTCTCACAGGCCAGCAGTATCTCACTCCAGAGAATCACACTGAGTTGTTCCCTCCTCCTGGCGTGACTGTTCCATTGTCCATCTGGAGAATACTTACTCATTAAGACGAATTCATCTGCTCCCTTTAAGAAGCCTTTCCTGACTATGTGAATCCTGGAAACCGGTTCCTCCTTTCTGCTCCCCTTTACCTTGCAAAAACGTCTGTTAATGTTCCTGTAACTTCCTAGCTTACAGATCTGCCTCCTCCTATAGACTGTAAGCTCCTGTGCACAGGAACCATGTCATCTTCATCTTTGTATTCTCAGACCTAGCTCAGTGCCTGGTCTAAATCTTTAACAAATGTCTATCCCTGCTATACTGGCTCTTGGCTTTTAAGCAAACCATTCAAATGATCCTAGTCTTGGTGCCCTAGAATCTTGGGTCCAGGGTAGCATAGTCCAGCAGTGCTAAGAGTGTGGTCCCATGAACAAAACTGTCTGAGCTGAAGGGCACAATTACTCCTCACCCAAGTTCAAGTGTAAGGGACTTGGAGGAGGGGAGCAATGTTCATGTGTGGAAAGACAACCTCAAAAAGTCCTGTTAACTCTCTCTCAGTCGTGTTGATGGAGAAAAATGATAGCAACACAAAAAATTCCAGCCAGTGGAGAATCCATAGATCAACATGATTAAGCCTTGAGATGTGTATTATTTCTTTGCAACAAACTTGTCTTTCAGATTCTATTTGGCTCAAGCTACATGCACATAACAAAGGATGATAGGTATCTAATGTAGGGCTTTATGAAGCTTAGCTGTAATGCAGACACCTGGGCAGGACAGGAAGTTCCCCTTACCTGGCACAGTCCTGGGGTGCCTGCCTAGGTGGCTCTTGCAGCTCTCCTTCCTGCTGTTGGCGGAAATCAGGACTATAGAGAGGCCTTGACCCAAGGCAGCCCCAACCAGGTCAAAGCTGGAATGGGCACTGGCAGGTGTCCTATTTCTCAGCCCTGAGTCCACAGCCTGGAAGTGGCTTTGCCCAGCCACCTGCTCCCCTCTGCCCTCTGCTATGGCTGACACTGACCTGGGAATTAGACTCCAACTACCCAGAAAGGGCAAAATGTGAAAAAGGGGAAACTTGGCAAAGATGGGGGTGGCCCTGGAGGGCAATCATCCCATCTTCCAGAACACTGGCTAGTGTGAACTCCACTGCAACCACAAAAGGGGAAACCATGAGGAAATGGATCAGCATGCTCTGACCAGAGTTAAAGATATGAGGCTGGAGAGAAGAGGTTCAGAGCTGGAAGAGGAAGACAGTTCTGCTCTGGGATGGCCAAATTTCCCTCTTCCCCTTCCCTTTCAGCCATCTGCCTTTTCACCGCATAGTCTTTTCCTGCACTTCCTCAGATCCAGAGTACCTCCCCACACTCACACACACACCACAGCACCTGTCCAGGAGTTCCACAAATCATTTCAATCTCTCCTACTCTCAAACCCCAATTTCTTCCCCCACCAGATCACCCCTTCCTGTATCTCCACATCACCTTGCCTCAGTCTGGCCCCTAATTCCATTTTCCATTTGTCCTTTCCAGGCCACCAGCCTCCCTGAGGGGGTACTTCCTGCACTAAACTGGCCTTCAGGTACCTACTAGGGACCGGCCACTTAACAGTGACCGCTCCCCTCAAGCCCCCAGCGGCTCATCCCCTGCCCCCCGCCTGGGCTGCTGCAATCCTTATACCTTTAACAAACCTCCACGTGCGTGTTAACGGCGGTGACAGCATTTCCTTGTCTCTCTGCTCCCGCCCCCGGAGGCGCCACCCATTGGCTGCCGGATTCCTCCGTTCTCGCTCTAATTGGCTTCGCTCCGGGAAAACTCTGACCAATGGCCTCTCCGTGCCTGGCTCCCTCCACTGACCCCGGGCTCCCATTGGCTCCGAAGACTTAGGTATTGGCCTGGCTTGGTGACTGGTAAACTCTTCCTTGCCCGGGTAGATTCCCCGGCTGAGAAACTGGTTCCGAACCCAACCGAACCCAGAGCGGAGCGACGCCGGGTCACGTGGCTGGCGGCCCCATGACGTGCGTGCTCCGGGGCGTCATCGTGACGTTCCGGCGACCCGCTGTGTGGCCCGGCTACCTCCGTTACCTGTGCAGCCGCGGTGCTGTCATGGACCTGGGACCGATGCGCAAGAATTACCGCGGGGACCGAGAGGTGCCACCGCTCGGCAGGGCCTCCGCAGGGGCAGGGCACAGGGGACCCTTCATCTCCGGGGGGGAAGATAGTGGGAGGAACCCCTACTCCGAGGTTTCTGGTACATCCCGTGGCGCTTGGGGTCACCTCCGTGGGAGAAGGGGAGTTTAAAGACAATCAATGGGGGAGGGGTTCTGAGGAAATGAGGATGAAGATGGACTCTAGAGGTAGCTTGTCGTAGGGGGCCAGGGCGCGCACTCGGGAAGGGGGCCGGTCTATGTGGAATCCTGCCGGTGGCTGCTCGCAATCCTTGGGCGGCTTACTCACCTTTCTGGGCCTCAGTTTCCTCACCTGTGAACGGATAGTACAGCCCTCACGGAGATGTTATGGACTTTGATATTTGTGAAGTGCCTAGAACAGTGACAATCAGCTTATAATGTTTGATAAATAAATAACAGGTCGGGGAAGAGGACTAACGCAGGAGGGGAGGAGACAGCTCTTGGCTCTTACTGCCTTCAGTCCCTCACATACTACTTTTCCTCCTGAGGAGAGAAACTAAGAGAAATATTTTGGAATTGGGGCCCAGAATCTGGCTAACCAAATCTGTGTGAGCATTTCCAGAAATGCTTATTAAACATGCAGTTTTTTCTTAAATCTCAGACCTACTGAATGAGAATTTCCAGGGTGGAGCCTAGGAATCTGTTGGGTTTTTTTTTTCTTGGCTCTCCAGGTGATAGGTTTGACACCCATGACATGAAACTCTAATTTGTCCATCACTAGCTGTGGGACCTGGCAACTTATCCACCTTTTTATGCCTGTTTCCTCACCTACAAGATGAGGCTAACAAAACCTACTTGCTGGGTACTGTTTTTTGTTATGAGATCATTGTTATGAGGACTAAATGAGTTAATATTTGAAATGGGTCTAGAACAGTACTACATACACAGTAAGCACTATATGTATTTACTAAATGAAATAAAACTCTCCCTTCCCAGGCATTTGAAGAGACTCAGCTGACATCCCTGGACCCCATGAAGCAGTTTGCTGCCTGGTTTGAGGAGGCTGTTCAGTGTTCTGACATAGGGGAAGCCAACGCCATGTGTCTGGCTACCTGTACCAGGTGGGCATAGCTGTGGCCCCTTCTGTGGGTAGGTACAGATGAAGTAGGGAACTTAGGAAGCTCCCAGTTTGATGAATGACAACTTTATGATTCTAGCTCTATTATTAACATGCTGTGTGGCCTTAGGTAAGTTACTTGTCCTCTCTGGGCCTCAGTATCCTTACCTGTAAACCAAAGACCAGACTTCACTCAGTTCCATTTCAGTGATAAAATGTAGTGCCTCAATCATCTCTGTCCTTGATGCATACCCCCCACACACACCATTGTCTCCCTCATCTCCCCATTTCTACAATTCCTATCTGCTCTTTAAGAGATAGATCTCCTGGAACCTTTCCATAAAGCTGTCTCACTCTCTTGAAATCTAGCACATCATTCAGTTGACAACCAATCATAAACCCCTTGAGACATCTCTTATATTAGCCTCTTATTCAATTCTTCTTGTCCCCCTGACCCCTCACTAGAGCATAAGGCCTTGAAGACAAGACTCTTGTCCTGTGCCCCTGGACATTCCCCAGTGCTTTGAGCAGAAGGCCTGTTGTAACTGCACCTTCTGTGACCCCTAAGCATTGGCTGATTGCGTTATTGTTGGTCACTTGCCCTTTGAGCCTGGTTAGTTTGCTTGGGCTGCCATAACAAAATACCACAGACTGAATGGCTTGAACAACAGAAATGTATTTTCTGACAGTTCCAGAGGCTGTAAGTCCAAGATCAAGGTGCTGTCAGAGTTGGTTTCTAGTGAGGCATCTCTTCTGGGCTTACAGATGGCCACCTTTTTGTTGTGTCCTCACATGGCCTTCCCTTTGTGTGTGCAGGGAAGAGCTCTCTGGTGTCTCTTCCCCCTCTTATAAGGACACTAGTCTTACTAGATTAGAGTCCCACCTTTATTACCTCATTTAACCTTAATTAGCTCCCTAAAAGCCCTATCTCCAAATACAGTCACACTGGGGGTAGAGGCTTCAAAACTGATTTTAGGGGGACCCAGCTCAGCTCATAATAGGGCCCTAGGCAGTCGTGTCATACTTGTACCCCCAGGACAAATCCTCAGTGGGAATTTTTTTTTAGGGATATGAACCTTTATTTCACAACTTTGTCATAATTCACTTTCTAATGAGACATGTACTGAGGACATAGTTAAAATACTAGGAAGGTGGGAATGGGTAGCCTGAGTGCCCAGACAGTGCAGAATAAGGGGGCGCAGGTAGAGGGTACACAGGCATCCTGTGAGGAGGGGCGGTAACAGGAACATTGCAATGGGCTCTGACCACAGTCCTCTAATCTTTGCCCCAGAGATGGGAAGCCCTCTGCCCGCATGGTGCTGCTGAAGGGCTTTGGCAAGGATGGCTTCCGCTTCTTCACTAACTTCGAGAGTCGGAAGGGAAAAGAGCTGGTAAGGGATCACAGTAAATCCTTCCTGGGCCTGCAGGGTCCGGCCCTCGCTTCCTTGGTCGCCTTCTCATGTCACCCCTGCCCCAAACCACTTGCTGGCTGTGCTGAGGCACTGTCCTGCCTGCAGGCCTTTGCACTTGGCGTTCTCTCTGCTGTGGATGAATGCTTTCTCTAACCACCCCCACCTCTGCCATCTGTCTACCTAAATAGCGCCTGTGCCTTCGGGTCTCAGCCCCCATGCTACTTCTCAGCAGAGCCTTCTGGACTCCCGTGCTGAGTCAGTCCCTGGAACTGTTTGCTGTCATTATAACTTGTCACTTTCCTTTCTGCCATTTTTTTAGTTCCTAACTGTGCGTGTCTTGATGGGATTATGATTAATGCCTGTGTCCGCTGCTAAACAGTAAGCTCTGTGGGGGCAGCGGCTGCACCTGTGGTATCTCTGTTTTACCCCTCGCAGCTCTCCGGGTGTCGAGTACAGAGTTGGCTCCTCATATGCGTTCAACTAATGCATCCAAAATGAGTGGCCCTCCCTCAGTCCAATACAGCCAGACGTGCATTTCGGAGGACTTGAAAATCTATGGGTGAGAGAAAGGGCAGGGCTCACTTTGGAGGCCATCTGACGCAGCTCTACCGTTTACTGTGTGAACTTGGGCATGTTATTTAACCTCTCTGAGCCTGTCTCCACACCTGTAACAGAAGGCCTTCCTTTGAGGATTTAAATGAGATGTTACAGTGAGTGCATCGTGCAGTGCAGACTCCCCGCCTTCCCCCTGTACGCTGGATCATCCTCTTTCCCGTCTTGATGGCTACCTGTGGATTCTCTTTCATTTCCAGGACTCGAATCCCTTTGCTTCCCTTGTCTTCTACTGGGAGCCCCTAAACCGTCAGGTGAGTGAGCATTTGCAGGACAGCCTGGGGTGGGCTGGGGTAGGGGGGCCTGAGTTTCTGGATGAGCTTGGTGGAGGGCCCCAGGGTGGGCAAACATCTTGCCTTTCAAATAGCTCTCACTTAGCTGGGCTAGTTGGAGTCAGACATGGTGGGGCAGTGAATGAAGAGAAAGACAGAGGCATGAGGCCTATGCTGGAAGGGAGGGCAGGTAGCCTTGAATGCCATCTAACCAGGGCCATCCCTGAGCAGGTACGTGTGGAGGGTTCCGTGAAGAAGCTACCCGAGGAGGAGGCCAAGTGCTACTTCCACTCCCGCCCCAAGAGCAGCCAGATTGGGGCTGTGGTCAGTCGTCAGAGTTCCGTGATCCCTGATCGGGAGGTGAGTGGGGCTCCTCTTCTGAGTGGTGAAGGCCTTGGCTCAGCCCCTGAGGCTGTCCCCAGAGGATGCCAGGGCCCTCTCTCTCCAGCAAAGTGAAATGGACTGTCTCCCCTGGGGGAGTGGGTATGCGGAGCAGGGAACTGGCCTCCCATGTCTGTCTGACCTTCCCGTTTGGACTGTGCTCCCGGAGGACAGAGCCCAGCTGGCCTTGCTCACCTGCATCCCCAGCACCTGGCACAGAGCACATGCTCAGTGAGTGGTGATTAAATGAATCATTGACTGGGTCTGGCCCTTTCTCCATCTCCTTCCCCTGGACAGTATCTGAGAAAGAAAAATGAGGAACTGGAGCAGCTCTACCAGGAACAAGAGGTGCCAAAGCCACAATACTGGTGAGTGACACCTCATGGCTGTGTAGAAAGGGACATTGGAACCCTCATGCTTACTTGAAGCCACCGTCTGTAGAATTAAAGATCTCCTCCTCCCTGGCAACCTTTGTCAGATGCACACCAGCAACTTCCTTCAAGGGGACCTGGGATGGCGTGGAGGGGTGGGTAAGGATGGCGGAGGGCAAATTGACCTGGCTAGAAAACTGCACACAGCACCAAAACCTCTGCTTCTCCTTGTAGGGGTGGCTACATTCTCTACCCACAGGTGATAGAGTTCTGGCAGGGCCAAACCAACCGCCTGCACGACCGGATCGTCTTTCGGCGGAGCCTACTGACAGGAGACTCCCCTCTGGGACCCATGACCCACCAAGGGGAGGAAGACTGGCTCTATGAGAGACTTGCGCCCTGACTCCCAACCTGCTGGTGCTGACTGGAGCTGGGGCAGTGCTAAGAGAGGGTATGGGATCGGAAGCCAGGCCCTTCTAAGCTCAACCCATTTCCCTTCCCATCTCTTATATTCAGAGCTCTTCAGAGTTCATTGTCCAAGTTCTCTGTACTCAGCTGGTCTAGTGGAGTGTAACAAATGGAAAATAATCCCATAATATTTTCTTGACTTTGACTATGGTTTATTGGAATAGCTCCCTCTAGGGGTAGCAGCTGGTGTGATTCCCTTTTCTGATGACAGAGGATGGGCCCCCAGCAGCCTCGACGGCTGGGGTAACAATCACGTGAAAAGTCATACTGGCCAAAGCCGATTGGTCCCAGCATAAGCCCCTGAGCCAATCTAGCCAATCGGTTTTTCTTGTCACCAAATTGAAATTTGAAGTGGAGAGACTCAGAGCATGGGAGTCATTGTAGCCAAGCCAATAATGGCAGCTAAGGAGCAACAGCCTCTGGTTGCTTTTCTTGCAATTCCCTATGTGGCCCCTGGATCTCTCCTTCCCATGTCTGGGCTGTGCAATTCCTCCTCCTACCTCAAAACACCCACTATCTCTAAAAGAGAAAGAAAAATTTTTTTTTTGGCTTAAACAAGCCAGAATCTATTTCTGTTGGTTACAACTAAAAGAACCTTAACTAACTCATTTACTAATAGGATATTTTTACAGCTCTTACCCAGCTGGTAACTGCCTTCCATTACCTGAAGCACAGCAGTGTGGAAAAGAGACTAAATTGATTCTCTGCAGCTCCAAGGGACCCTTAGGTAGAAGTTGTGTAGAAGTAGATTTCATCTCAATATGGGAAGAGATTTCAAATGATTGGGGCTGCTCAAGAGGGAATAGGTCAGGTAATGTGTTCTGCCACTGTCAGTCAGGATGTTTTGTTAAAGGGACTTGTGCTGGTACCTATGGGCCAGAAAGATTTTAATCATGCTTTACTTTCCATATTTGTTTATGAAAGCTATATATATATATGTATGTTTATGTGTATGTATATTATACATACTTTCCAGGTATAAAGTTAAATAGTAGAGATTATGTCTTTCTGACACTCCCACCTCTACCAATGACGACTCCCAGATCACTGGTTTCATCCGCACTGGAATTACCAGAGGAGCTTAAAAAACCCTGATGCCCAGTCCCACCCTCAGAAATGATTTAACCAGTGTGAGTGCAGCCTGGACTTCCGGAAATTTAAAAGTTTCCCCAGGGAATTCTGTGCAGCCAAGGTTGAGTCCCCTGGTAGTAGATCCTTGCTAACTGCAGTGTGGTCCACAGGCCAGCAGCACCAGCATCACTCTGGGGTGGAGCCCACCCCAGACCCACTGAATCCCATTCTGCATTTAACAAGACCCCCGACTCTCGCCCCCAGATGCACTACCCCTAACCTCCAAACCAACCACCTCCCACCCTCACAGTTAGATTCTTCAGTAGCTCCCTGCTGAGGCCTGGGCTGAACTGTAGTATTTACTTTCCTTGAGCACAGGTCTGGTGACTAGGGACAACCTGGGTGAGTGGCCTACAGGCTGCAGAGAGGAGCCAGGCTGGGCAAATGTTTGCTATGACTAAGCCGGGATCAGAGAACTGACTATTCTTTGTACACGTTGGCATTGAACTTGCTACCCTGTAAACTGTGCCTTGTTCTACTGTATGGGCGTGTGCTGTTATTGACTGCCTCTTCCAAGGGCCACCCCCTGGGTGTTGACCCCCCTTAAGCCTGTGTGCAGGAAGCCCAATGCTAACCCTGTGGCCACCTGCAGGAGAGCGTGCCTACCTTGTCCTGTTTGTGTTATTGGGGCCTGGGTATCCCCCTTGCTTTGAGCCTGGTCTCAGCTGTTCCCTTCCTTTTCTCTGTCTGACAATCACTGTGCCAAGTTTGTAATAAAAACTCATCAGCCTTGCATGATACTGATGTTCAGTCTAACCTGGTCTTGTCCCCCAACCCTCAGGAAGGAGGGGAGTTGGGGGATTTAAGCAACTCCTCCCACCTGGCTTCTCCCCTCAGGGGAGGTTGGGCGTCCAGCAGGGGGAGCCCGATGCCCAGGGTTGGCCCCCTCTGGGTGGTGCAGGGCCGTTCTGGCTGGCCCCTCCTGCCTCCCCCTTCCCCCACTTGGGTCCTGTCCCAGTGAAACTGTGGTCGATAACCCGTAGCCTCTCCCGGCTCCTGCACGTATTTGCACTCTCGATTCCTCCTCCTCCAGCCTCGTGAAAGCTTGCAGGTGCCTGGCTCTGACTCCCTGGGCAGCCAGATCTCCCTCTGGCTTTTAGTACTTGCCCCCAACCCCCACCATCCGTCCCCCAGCTTAGGAATATATGTGGAGTTTTCCTGGAAGATTCTGGCAGACATCACTTTGGGATATGGAGCGGGCTCGCCTGCAAGGGGCAGAGGGGCCTGCAGACTCGTTCGCCGAAGAGGGGTAACGGTGGCCATGTGGCATCAATATGAGGTTGAACCACAGGTCAGTGGCCCAGGGGCCCAGCCTCATCCCCCACTTGCCTCAGGGAACCTCAGAATGCGCTGAAGTGGCAGGTCCCTACAATCTGGGGTTTTAGGAGACACTCAGCCTTGAAGCTGGTTCCCAAGTCGGGGCAGCCCCCTCCGATGGTGCCCACCTCCCAGGATCCCAAGGCCCAGGCATGACCCCCTCTCACCCCACCTCCCCTTCTGCAGAAGGTGACTGTGCTCCTTTCCTTGTTCTCAGCCTCAGTTTCCTCTTCCTGAGCAGATAAAAATCAAGGGTGGAAGGGGCTGTGTGACGCAGCGGTCATGTGCGCAACTCTGGTCTCGTGCACAGCTCTGGCCTCGGTCCCAGCTCCGCCACTGCGAGCCCTGACCTGGGGCTAATGACTTGACCTCTCTAAGCCTTAGAGCTAAGTCACCTGGAAAATGGCGATGGTGAAGCCACCTGTCTCGGGTGATGAGAGGATTAAATGAGGAACCTCATGGAGTAATCGCCCCAGGGCCTGGCCTGTTGTGAGCCCTCTGTGAGTGTCAGCTGCTGACCCCAGGCAGGGCTGGAGGCCGGGGAAAGTCAGCTCCTCCACAGGAGGCTGTATGGATTGAGTAATTGGTGGGACCCTAGAAAGTTCCATGTGGTAGGGAGGGATAGGGGAGAGGCTTCAGGGAAGGTAGCACACCTGAGCCCGCCTTCCATCCCTCGGGCCCCTGGTCTCCCTCACTCATCCTCAGAGTTCCCTCTGGCCTGGGTGAGGCCACCTAACAAAGGCCCCCTTGTACAGGTCTGTTTGTTTGGGTAATAAATTTCCTGATTAACGCTCCCTGGGGCGGGTGGCCCAGCAGCCTGTGAGGAGCTGACCTGGAAGCCACTGGATCACACTGTTTACTTGTCCCCTTGCTCTCTCCCTTTTCGCACCAGGAGCTCCAGAGATTTGGCCAATTTTTTCCAGTTCCCAGCTTCTGGAGCTTGAGGAAGGTCTAGCCCTAACAGCATAGGGAGTAAGCTCTCTTCTCGTCCTTAAGCAGATGCTGTGGGCTATGGTGGAGATCCTTCATAAAGGAAAGGGAAGAAAATCCGTGTTCGCTGGGCTCCTATTATAGGACTGCTTATGGACCACTTACTACTGACCACTCCCTGTGACTCAGGTAGTATTACAGGCCCTTTTACAGAAGAGGAAACTGAGGCTCAGAGGAGGTTTTTTGTTTGTTTGTTTGTTTTCAAAGTTCCTCAAATCAGCCAGCTCCAGAAGGGGAAACCAGAATTTGAATCTTGATCCCAAACAGAACCACTGAGTCTGTGGGGTCAGTCACCAAACGTCTGTCTGCTCCATTCTCTTGGAGCCCCTGATGGCCCCTCTGTTGACCAGAAAGAACTGACTGCTGGGGTGCACATAGCTCCTTCCTTTGCTCTCTCCATCCCCAGATACTACAGATGGCTTGGTGGTGAAGTTAGTGACCCAGGTATTACATTTTACACCTGGAGACCCTTTCTCATGCTGGAAAGGAAGTTTAAGCACAAAGTTCCGTTTTACTTACATGAAGGGAGTAAAGGCCTGAAAAACAGCATCTCAGTAAATGCAAGACAAGAGCATAAATAGTTTCTCTGCTTTTGCAGCATTGTTTATTACAAAAAGAGAAGAACCTACAATTATTTTTTTTAAACAAAATTCAAGGCTCCAGGACTCATCTCTGGGGCTGATCCGTCTTAAATACTAGTAGGGGGAGGAGGGGTTGGAGAACTGGCTGCTTTTAGCTCCTGCCAGAGCTCCCCCACCCCCTTTCGCGTTTGGACCCCTGGGGACAGTACAGCTTCCTTTTGAGGGTATGTGTGGGAACCCGAGGGGTCCCTCATCTGGCCTTCTGCAGGGTCCCCTCCCCGCTGCACTTGTGAGAGCAAAGTTCCAGGAAGTTTCCCACTTGAGTTAGGAGGTGAGCTCAAGTTCAGCACCTCCGCCTCAGCTCCAGGAAACCACCCACTATCACGTGGCTTCTGGAAAATGTACTCTCAGAATTGATCCGAGGAACAGTCACAGGTAGAGAAAGTAGAAGGAGCAGCAATTCAAACTCACCCTTGACCCTGTGCCCTGGGAGGGGAGGTGGGGAGGTCTGTCCGGCTCCCCCTCTCCATTCCTTGCCATGGCCACCTCCCTGCCGGTGTTGCCACTGCTTTGAGGAGGGCTGTCCTTCCTGAGTGGGACTTTTCATCCTTGAATTGGAGTGCCTTTGTGTGTGGTGGGAGAGGGTGGGAGGGCCTGGGATCTCTCAGGCCTTCCAGAAAGCTGGAGCACATAAATACAAACTTAGAACCAGATATTTCCCGCCAGCAGGCATCAACTACCCCACGGTTTCAGCTGTGGCCAAAAAAGGCCAGCGTGGCAAGCTCCTGTCTCAGATCCGGCTGATGGCAGGGAGCGAGGAGGTGGCTAGCATCCTCCTTGGCCCCCTTCACTGTCCTTTGCTCTCCCTGTCATCAAAGAGGTTGGCGTTCTCCGCCAACGTGGCTCGGACTTTTTTCTTCTCCTTGAAGCGGCCCGAGTTGGAGACTTTGACGTGTTTGCCCTTTGTGCTCTTGTCCACAATCTTCTCCAGGCGGGTGTTAAAGTGGCTGTCAGGGTCTCCGCCGTCAGGCCTCGGGGGCTCCGCGCTGCCCTCAGTTTGGGCATAGGTATCGGGGATCTCATAGAGAACCTTGGGAGAGGATTTCTTTTTCCGGAGGAAAGTCAGCTTCCACCAACCAACTTCGGTCATGGCGCTTCCAGACCTGAGGATGGGGCGCTCTACAGGAATAGGGGTTGAGGGAGAAAGGGGTCAGTGGGGAGAAGGGGCAGGTCGCTTGGAGCAGCCCTTTCTTGTCTCCTAACCAGGGGCTCTTTTAATAGCCCAGGATTGAAAGAGTTGAAGGAGGGGCCAAATGAACCCAGGATTCAGGTAAGTGATGCAATATTTTTGGAAAATATGAGGAGAGGGAGGGTCTGGGGAAGAGGTGGGCAAGAAAACACCCAAGGGGAATCCATCTGAGCCAGGTGGAGGGGACAATGGGACAACCACACACCGTCATGCAGCTTTGAGACTCCAGGCCTGTCGGGGCTGCAGGAAGGTGAATAGCCTGCCCGGGGCACATAGCAACCAGGCCTTGGACACCTTCCCCAGATCTTCCCGCTACACCTCCTGGCCCTGCTACCAGAAGTGGGCAGATACCAGCTGGTATCGGATAGACAGAAACACTCTGAGCATTTTGCTTGGAATTCATTACGAAATTAAATATTTATGTTGTTCAGAGTAATCTGGGCTTCCCAGTGATGACCAGCGGGACTAAAGGAGCAGCTGGGGTTTTTCTAAGGGGGAGGAACCTGAGACCGGGAGTGGGAGGTCCTGGCAACTGTTCCAGCCTCATGACCTCTGGCAAGTTGTTTCTCTGGACCTCAGTGTCCTCCCCTGTCCCTTCCAGCCTAACATTTAGTTCTAATGTTAATCTCTGCCCATGAGGTAGGCATGCTTTGCACAGTAAACCTTATGGTAATGTAATAATTACTGAGGGATGGCTCCCTTTCACTGTACAGCTTCTATGAAGACAGAGGTTTTAAGGGGATCTGAAAATTTGAAAAGAGATCTGGGGGAGCCAAGAGGTACATGTGGGATGTGGTTATCACAGGCTGGATCCTCCATAAGGATACCCCACAGAGGTGGGGCAGGCAGGCTGAAATCCACAGACGACATGATGAATCCTGACACAGATGTGGCCTCACCTTTTACTAATTTCCACCAAGTTGCCGTCTGAGCTAGTGGAAGTTCTGGCAGGAGAAGTTGCCTGGATGTCTCAAGAACAAGAGACAGTAGACTAAAAGAATTAAGATCAATGACAGAGCAGGCAGAGTGACTAGAGATGGAGACACTTCTGGGCCTGGAGAGGTTGGTGGTCTGGTTCTCAGGACCCTGGTGTGGGCTGAGAAGGTCCTGAGGAAGAGGGTACAATAGTCACAGTTCACCAAAAAGCGAGCTGGGCAGCTGGCCCAAGCCCAGACAGGTGTATCACCTCCTTGTAAAAACTGATGATCTGAATTAAATTTTCTAAAAAGACCAGAAAGAAATCTAACAAGTAATTAACACCGGTTTTCATTGTGCAGAAGGAGGAGGAGATATTTTCTCCTCCCTATTTATCTGATTCTCAGATTTTCCATAATGAGTATGGATTTTTTTTTTTTAGAGGGGGAGCATATCAAATTCAGGAAAAATGAAAGCAGGATGCTGACCTAGGCTTGAAATGATCTGAGTGCCTGCATCCATGCCCCCTTGCTGTTGTGGTCCCCTGTCGCTGCATACACCCATCTCCTTGCCCAGAGCACACGCCCAGGGGTTTCCTTCCCACCTCTTTGTCCAGGAAGCAGATCCCACCTTGTCCCACGAGCTGAACTCAAGTAACAAGAGACTCCCAGGGAGATCTAGTACAGCT